GGGAAAATACCTTGTCGTCCAGCGAAGATCGCCCATAGGGAAGCCATTTTGCGAGTGCCAATCAGCTGTAAAAATGGCTGTCCTGTGAAGCATGGGTCCGGAAAACACAGGGCAGCCATTTAGCGAAGACGACGATCAGCTGTAGAAATAGTCATCTTGTGAACAAACGGTTCGCGAAACACGGACCTAATCAACATCCAGCGAAAAATCCCCATTGGAATGACTGTTTTGTGAATTGCTATAGCGATCGCAAAAAGTCATCGTTATGTGGATTCGTCGTTTAGCGGGGTCGTCATCATGTGAGGTACCACTGTATTATGTACAAGAAGCTACTTTTAGGACAGATTGTGGAGAGATAGAATAGTTTCCTATAGGGAAAGGGATCTGGCAATTGTGCATTTTATCCCTCTTGCTGTTCAATCTGTATGCAAATACAAAAATACAATTCTTGTAGTAAAAAAGAAAAGAGTAACTTAGATGGATGAGAAAAGAAAAAGTTAAAATGGTTAAGGAAAGGTGAGAAGCAGAAGTGAAAAGAAATACTGTAGGTCAGAGCCCTAAGTGTAGTTTTTCAGTGAATTTCATGTAGAAACAAAAGAGAAACACTACAACCAGTGCAAAGGAAGAGGAGAACAATAGGGGGGAAATGAGATCTCTTCCAGAAGATCCAAGAAATCAAAGGGAAATTCAAGCCTAAATTAGGAATGTGGAATAACCAACAGGGAAGCACACAATCTGACCAGGAGAAAATAAAGAGAAGGTGGAAACAGTATACTGAAGAACTACACAGAAGAAATGCAAGAATGACAGACTTTTGAAGAGGAATCCTATGACGAAGAACCTCCAGTTCTAGAATGTGACATTAATGGCTAAAGTCCATGCATCAAACAGATGTTAAAGGTTCAGGAGCAGAAGCTAGTGGAAAACAAAATAAATACTGAGAAATGTATCCCAGAACTCAGATGCTTCAGTGGCATATAAAAGTATGTTATAAATTATACATATGAAAACAATATAAAAAATTTTTTTAAAAGAAAAATATGGTGGCTCCTTAAAGACTGGTGAAAGCTGCTCTGAAAGCACTAGGAAGAATAAATCACCAGGAGTAAATGGAATATGAGCAGAACTGTGACTCTTTCAAGCCACACAGACTGAATCTATCAAAATCCTAAAAAGAATATGCCAACGAAAAATGGAAAACAAAACAATAGCTCATAGACTGGCAAAATTCCATATATATTTCTCTCTCCTAGAAAGGCGATGCCAGGCAGTGCAAAAACTGTAAGGTTACTGCTCTAATATTCCATGCAAGCTGATGCTGAACACATTCCATATGCATTGCCTCTGACGGATTTTTGGTATCACCTGGCAGGACAAAGTTCCAAATAGAGTAGTCCTAGAACGAGCTGGAATTTTTAGCATGTATACATTACTGAAACAGCAACGTCTACGTTGGCTTGGGCATGACGTGAGAATGGCTGACAGTTGGATTCCAAAGGATCTCCTGTATGGAGAATTAGTGCAGGGAAATTGCCCCAGAGAGAGACCACAGCTGCTATACAAGGATATCTGCAAGCGGGATCTAAAGGCCTTAGGAATGGACCTCAACAGATGGGAAACCCTGACACCTGGAGGCAGGTGTTGCATCACGGCCTCTCCCATTTTGAAGAGACCCTTGTCCAGCAGGTCAAGTCAAAGAGGAAGTCACAAAAGCAGCAAAATCAGAGAGCTGGACAGGGGACAGATTGTATTTGTCTTCAGTGTGAAAGGGATTGGCCCTTTCAAACTGGCCTCCTCAGCCACACTAGACACTGTTCCAAGTCTTCTATTCAGAGCATGTTACCATAGTCTTTCGAGACTGAAGGATGCCTAACCAATCCCATGCAAGCAAAGTGATGCTCAAGGTGTTGCAACAAAAAGCAAAGTGTGCTGCTTATTTACATCCCCATAGTGCTTACAACACTCTTAGCAGTTTACAGTTTAATTATTCAGGTCAACAAAGGCTTTTACCTTACATGGAGAAATGTTTGATGTTCAAGCTGGATTTCAAAAATGAAGAGGCACTCGAGCTCATCACAAATATCAGCTGGAGTGCACTGATTTCAGAAGAGCAGTCTTCACTTTCCACGCTACAGCAAAGTCTTTGACAATGTGAATCATGAGACACTATTAATTCCTCTGAAAGAAATGGCATTTTTGGAGCAAAAATTTATACGTATAAGACTCTGTCTTATTTTCGGGAAAACATGGTAGTTAAAGTTGCCTAGTCAGATAGGGTTTACCCAGATGTTAAACATATCACTCCAGGGCTGTTGAGCCCATTGGATGGCCCCGATTCCAAGCTTTCGGGAAAATACCTTGTCGTCCAGCGAAGATCGCCCATAGGGAAGCCATTTTGCGAGTGCCAATCAGCTGTAAAAATGGCTGTCCTGTGAAGCATGGGTCCGGAAAACACAGGGCAGCCATTTAGCGAAGACGACGATCAGCTGTAGAAATAGTCATCTTGTGAACAAACGGTTCGCGAAACACGGACCTAATCAACATCCAGCGAAAAATCCCCATTGGAATGACTGTTTTGTGAATTGCTATAGCGATCGCAAAAAGTCATCGTTATGTGGATTCGTCGTTTAGCGGGGTCGTCATCATGTGAGGTACCACTGTATTATGTACAAGAAGCTACTTTTAGGACAGATTGTGGAGAGATAGAATAGTTTCCTATAGGGAAAGGGATCTGGCAATTGTGCATTTTATCCCTCTTGCTGTTCAATCTGTATGCAAATCATATCACTTGGAAAGCGAGACTAGATTCAGATGAAGGAGAAGTCAAAATTGGTGAAAGAAACATCAATAGTTTAAGATATGCAGATGACACCATCTTACTGACAGAAAGCAGCAATGTCTTGAAACAACTGTTAAAATGAAAGAAGAAAGTACAAAAGCAGGCATGCAGTTGCACATTAATAAAGCAAAAATCATGGCTACAGTGTTAATGGCTAAAGTCCATGCATCAAACAGATGTTAAAGGTTCAGGAGCAGAAGCTAGTGGAAAACAAAATAAATACTGAGAAATGTATCCCAGAACTCAGATGCTTCAGTGGCATATAAAAGTATGTTATAAATTATACATATGAAAACAATATAAAAAATTTTTTTAAAAGAAAAATATGGTGGCTCCTTAAAGACTGGGGTTTTTTTTAATGTGAGCTTTCATGGACAAGTCCATTTCATCTGACATAAAGTCCACTTAATCAAACATAAATTATATTTACCCTTCAGCTGTATGATAATTTAGGATTAATAAACACATTCCACTCACTCCAAATGAATGTATTTCTTTCTCCTGATTGT